ACCAATTTCTTTATATTCAATTTATGGCCGCAATTTTTAGTATCTCAACTTGATTTAGAATGAATAATTTAGTTTAATCATTATTTTCGAAAAGTTTTTAAGATCGAAAATATTTCAACATAAAAAAAAGGATTTTCTTGTCAAATCGTCGTTAGTAATTAAATCTTCCTCGATCTATATGTCAACAAATGTGACGATGACATTTAAAATAATTTAAAACAAACTATTTCATAAGATTAACCGCGCTCATATTTCAAAGACGGTGGTAACGTTCGACTTGTAGATCCATAATGAGATTTGAGAGACTTATGATTGGTACTTTAATAAATCACATTCGCGGACATATTGAACGACCGCATGTGCCCGTTCGCCAAATCAATATTACCTTCGACAAAGGTCACATCGCATAATTTGCATGAATCACATGTATACAAAAGGCGACGGTCCACAGTAAGTGCATTAGTGTGTGTGTCCACGAAATTGAAAAATTTGAAAAGGTAGCGATCCTTGAAGCGACCACTGCACTGCGCCTTACTAAACATTGAATGTTAAATCATTTTTTTTATCTCATTTATATTTGCTGTAACGTATCAAGAGTTTATTGTCCTTTTTTGCGTAACAAGTACAGCAATGCTCATTGTGCACACACGAATCTTGACCATTGTCATCCAATACTAATAATAAAAAAAAGCGCTGACGATGACAACGTTGAAAATAAATATCGAAAATCACCGTTCATAAACAAGTAGTTTAGCCGGGTCCATGCGCGTTCATTCGCCAGCGTTCGAAATGAACGTGCAAACAACAAAACCAGCGACAACAGATTTTTCAAAGCAGATTGGGCACAGCGTATTTGCAAATAAATATAATCCATTTGGTGCATATAAAACTGCATTTCGCTGTATTTTCACTGAGAAAGCATGAGATAGTTCAAATGGCTGCAATATTGTTGTTCTTGTTAATTTTTTTTTTCTTTCTTTCGAATTAACATAACAAAAAATGCACAGATAAAAGTGTGGTTTTGTTTATTTTTATTTGTTCGTTCAGAGTGGTGTTGTTGTTATTTTTCGGTGTGCACATAAAACAAAAGCGGTGCAATAGCAGCGACGCTGAAAATTGCAATAACAGCAACCATGCTCACTATCACCCATTGGAAGTAAAATGCATTTGCTCCGCAGTGTATAGATTCACGTAGTGTGTGTATTGTGTGCATTGGAAAAGCTAATAACTCGATGATGGGAGAAGGCCAATGACCGTTAGTTTTCTGTGCGTGTTTTTTTTTCTATTATATTTTGTATTTTTTTTCTTTACAATTTTGTTCGTGCATAATATACTTGGCGGTGTTTTGTTGTTGTTGCATTGCTCTCTTGTGTCGTTTTTCCTTCCACTTCTTCTTCTTCATTTTCCTTCCTCATAATTTTTGTCTTCGTCTCTCTAATGCTTCTGTCTTTCTTTATCGAATCTCATTTTCGAATCGATTTTCGCTGTCTCTGTCTCCAATCTTCGTGCACCGTTTTTTTTTTCATTCTCTTTCTGTTTTATCATTTGTTTTAGTTATCCACCGATTCGCAATAGAAATACATAACATTTACGCGTTTGCATGAATGCATTTCATTCAAATTCACTTAATATTGTGAGAAAGGACGTGCACGACATACAGTAACTATGCTTACCAGTTGTCGCTTAGATAAATGTTCAATTTATTAGATTTTTATCTCGTTGGACATACTATTTCTTCTGTTACTTTGAGGTCGCTTTTTTTATGAAAAAAAAAACTGTATTTATCACATTGGCGAAACCAACAATAAAAGCCATCATCGATGGAAAACAACGGCAATCACATTGTAACAAATTCAAATTGGCCAAAAGCTGTAGCAACTGAAATGCATCCACATGCATCCACTTAGCGTGTGTGAGAGAAAGAGAGAAAAGACAGCATCGAAACACTTTCACTTCAACCAGAACTTTACGGGTTTTGTTTGGCACATTGGTTTTTTTAACGCAAATTAAGCATTTAACAACAACAAAGAAGAAAACCACACGAATGAATAATAGCATAATCGGGCGAAATATAGTTGTACCAATCCAGTAAAATATAAAAGACAACAGCAGCAGCAACAACAGCTATAGCACGGCACACACAAACAACATGGAAATGCATACCATTTATATTATAGAGAGGTGCATCCAGCGTGTGGATGCAGATCATATACACATATTATATGTATTGCGGTGCAGTTTGCCGCTGTTGTTGTTGCTGTTTTTTTTTTCGTTTCGAATAGGCGGCAAATAACACATTTAATTTATTGTATTTTGTGTGTGCATTAGTGTGAACATTTTCAACTATAGTGAAAGTTGTTTTTTGTGCTCAGCTTGATGTTGTTTGTTGCTATTGCCGCTGCAGTCGTTTTGTTTTTGTTTTTTTTAAACAAAAAAGAAGCTTCGGACAAATTTTGTGCATTTTACTGTTATGGAATGCAATTCTTCTTTTTCATTGGTCACACAATGATTCCTCGGACAAATTCGATGCGAGATTTTGAAAATTAAAGGGTGAATTGCAAACCACCCTCACAATTGATCATAATCGTATTACAGCACACTCAGCAAACTCATTCATTATGCACACTTTATTCGTGGCGGTATCACAATGCACATTAAAGAAGAAGCAGCTACAAAAATAATAAACATTTAAAAACAAATTAAATAATTATTAATTGAATGCATTTCTTTTACTTCGTCTTCACTTTCAAATTGGCAAAGCTATGAAACGTTAAAGCAATGAAGAAAACGAAGAAGATAAGAGAAAAAAAGAGGGGGAGAAGGTGAAGGCATTGCAGTGTAAAGAAAAAAAAAATCCAAAACACATTGTTTATTGCTCGTGCTTTTCCTATTACGAAACTCCACATAGTTCAAACATTTTGTAATTCAATGGCAAGTACATGCGGAATTGGAATAACCATTTTGTGCATACACACTCTGCACGACCAGAAATGCAATCTTGCCACAGTATATTCACACATTTGCGCTCACGCTCGCGCCCTCGCTCGATCACCATCAGCGCAGAGAAACAGACACACATACATACGAAGAGCAAGCGGGAAAGAAAGATAGAAAAGCACTCACAACAAATGCCAAGTGGAGGCACACACACATATATACACACCAATTTAGACAGTCGGCTGTTTGTTGTTTGAGGTATCATGTGATTGAAATTGAAAATGAAAAGTAAAAGTTCGTTGAACGTTTGGTTAAATCATATGCTCCAATAGAGAAAAAATTACGCAAATTTTCGTGTAATATTGGTGTATTATGGGTATAGCAAGTTCTTCAAATGAAGAGATATAAATGGTGATAACAAAAGTACAGAGATGACTATTATTGTTGGTCATCTCGCTTTCTTTTGCAAATTATTTGCCATTTGGGCAATAATTCAAAATGTTTATGTTTGAAATCAAACGGATTTTTGTTTTGTTTACCGTTATAAATGAGACAACCCCCAGCGAAAGTGTATGCACATCACAGCGCATGACTTTTTTTTTAAAGCCGGCAGTAACAAATGCACATTGATTAGAATGGTACGGGTACAAAAAAGACAGACAACAAAATAAAAACCAGTAATCGAAATGCAGATATTAATTACACTCATCACTACTCATATATTGACGACAATTATGCGACAATTAAGATTGCGTCGTGTTATTGTTACATTGTCATATGTTTCTCTTGCTCGTACATTTCTCAGCGCAATGTGTCTGTTGCATGTACGATCTCTAATGCGGAAAACAAATATTAGGCTCACACACACACACATGCGCTTGCTGCTGCAATAATGCCAGAGAAAAGAAAAAACCTCAAGCAGCGGTGCGCATATCATTATCATCATTCAGTCAGTTTTTTGGCTGATTATTGCAATTTCTCTCCATTTTCTTTTCGTTTTCGTGCTCGAAAATGAATTGTTTGACACGGAGAGAAAAGTGGCAATTCGGGAAATCAATTGGCACGAGTGCCTTTGTGATAATTACCAATGTTAATCTTTTCCAACTTTCAAATGAGATTTTTGGTGTCGACGGCAGCGGCAGCAGCAGCAACAGCGTAACATTGATGCGAAAATCCAAATTATTATTCAATCGTGTGAAAAAATGCAAAATATTTTTCTTCCATGCGATACGAAATGTAGAGAGAAAGAGAAAGAAATATAAATAAAAACACAACCATCGAAGGTTGTTCAATGTTTTCTGCGATTATTTCCGTTTTTCTTCTATTTTTCAATAGAAATAAAACAACAACATGAAAGTTTAATAGCAATTAGCCGAATGCGTTATTAGTCGAAACCATAGAGCGATTTGATATGCGTGGTTTCAATTAAAGTTCAATGCAGCTCCGTTTATTTGTTTTCCAACTATGCGATCTACACTTATAAAAACATAAAACCGCCTTTTGATGCTGATGAGGTGCACACTCGACACTGTGATTTGAGTTTCGCTATTGAACAGTATAAACAATTGTGCATAATGTTTGTTCAGCTTTTTTTTTCACTCTCGATCACATTGAATAATGTTACCGTTTACATTAGCGCTGAAATGACATGTGCCGCTACACTTGAAAAAACAAAAAAAGCATATACTCATATTAAACTGACCCCGGACGCACATTTTACATCACCATCTATAATTGTAGCATGAGAACGATTTGAAAGTTAAACAATAACTAAACATTCAAGGCAATTCGCATCATAATAGAGTGAAAATGCACTATGAATGAATGAGAATGAAGATCATGTCATACACACACACATTCACTCACGCAGGCTCGATCGCCGTTGCGTGTTGATTTAAAATGTGCGTGAAGAATGTTTGGATTACAAAAAAAATATTAACCGTTCGACAAAAAAATGCTGCGCTCAAATCTCGTGCGATGTTGAATCAAATAGGAAGTATTAAAATGTAAACCAAAACAGAAATCCTGTCACTTTTTTTCAGCAATGTGAATTCTGTCAAAAATATATTCAAAACACTATTCATTTTATTCATTTCTTTTAAAGAAGCTATAAAAATACAACAATTTATTTGTTCATTTTTCATTCTTAATCTATTCAAATTGGCAGCGACGAAAAATATCTATATTTTTTACACTTTTCTACATAGCACATTTTAATTTCTAGTCTAACCTTGATGAATTTATTATATGCGAGCGAACGCAAAAAAACAACAACAGCTTACAATGTAAACAATGTTTATTTGTTTGTTTGGTTTCGCTTCTTCTCTTTCTCTCCCGCTCTCGAATTCGAGAGCCACTTAATTACTTTGGGGTTGTGTTTTTAGTTCCGTTTCCGGTTTCATTGTCTCTGTCTAAGATGATAGTGGCAATTTGCTCACCACGAATCAATAATTTTGAAACATTTCGTGAGCATTCCACTTGTTTTCGATTGACGGATTTGACATTTAGCGCGGGCAATGTAATCTTCAGACAACGTAATCGTTGTAAACATGTTGCCAATTGTGTCTCATCATTATCGCCATCATTCGATATAACTGCTTTCGATGAGTAATGGTATTTCTTACGTTTCCACACTTCAAATACATCGATTAACACGATGTTCCAATGCTTATCAAATGCTTCGATGAAACCAGTCACATATCCATTTATGGCTATTGCATTTCGTGTGAATATCTGAATACAAAAAAAATTACACCACAAAAATTATACATGAAAATACAGAAAAACCATCAAAATTGCAGAAAATCATTGATTCTCTGTGTGATTTAAACGAAAAAAAAAATTATGATCAAACCTTTATGCGTTTTCTTTGATCTTTCCATTGCTTCAGCATATTTGTTGGGCCAGTGGTGTCTTCGCTCATTTTTAACAACAAATTTCGCGTGTAACGAACACTTTTTCCTCTTCCTTTGACCATTTCTACATGTTAACACCAAAATTTGATTGAAATTTGAGTGAAAAACGAAAAAAAGAAACAAAAATATTGATCGGAAAAATGAACGAATTTGAATTAGTAATTGCACAAACCTTGATGTGGTAAAAATCGTCGTTTGTGTAGTTCAATTTCTTGACGATATGAAATCGGTGGTATTTTTGGCGCTGCATGCTGTTTTGTTGACTGTAAAATATGAAAACAAATATACGCTTTGCAAAACAGAACATAAAACCAATAAAATTTAACAAATTTTGCATTCAATTTGTTTTAATTGATTTATTTGTTTTTATTCTGTAATTTATGCCAAATATACTTACTGATGGTCCGCCGGACTCTTGTTTTCTCATTTCAGATTCATATTGAGCGACATTATTGTACTGTGGTGCGTCTTTGATGGGAATTTGGATTTCGGGCGACAATAGTGCCTTTAATGGATTGAAAAATTCACTACGAATATCCAATTCCGGGTCGATATTTTCAATTTTCATTTCATCACTTGAGCTAGATGACATCTCTTTTGATTCACTCATTCCTCATGAAATTGGTTATCGTTTTTCTTTTTGATTTGATTTCGGCAAACACTCTCAGTCTGACACACGCTCACGAAACATTTTACAACATGAACTATATGGTTGATTATTTACAAAACATATTCAAAAAAAAATGCAGTGAAACTGGAAATAGTAAAGATTGGAACAGTTATAAACTGAAATCTATAAATTTCGATATATACATTCAACAGTTCAAGTTGTTTATTCATTTCTGTCATCAAATCATCAAAATTGACATTTTAAACGTCACTACAATGTTCCGTTCAATTCATGTCATTTTTGGCGCTGATAATTTCTAATCACGCGCCAAATCCAAAATTACCATTTAAGCGACATTCAACTGCATTTTTCATTCACTGTTCATTTTCAACGATTCATTCCGAAACATTCAATGTTTTTACTTTATGTTAAATCTGATATCTGATATTCGTATGAAAGAAACTGTGTAGCATAACTTTCGGCGTATACTTTTTGTATATATAAATTGTAAAGACGTTGAATGTTTTGAATGTTTTTTGACGATTAAAATATTTCTCAAATGCTTTGTACCTTTTTTATTTTTTACTAATATTTTTTTCTGTTTTCTCTTTTTTTTTGCACAGAAAATGTCACCAATAAAAATTGTTTATGAAATTGACAACAGATTTATTACGTGATCCATCCAGCAACTGAATTCAGAGTCAAACAAAAAAAAACGTCTTTTCGTTAAGTTAACCATTAGGTTTAAGCACCATTTGATACCAGAAAACATCCTAAATTCTCCTTCGAAATTTACCCAAAATTTGATCATTTGCTTCCTTCAAAATTTAATTCCTATTCAAAATTCTCTATACGAAAAACAAGTCAATCACTTATAAAACATCAAAAAGTTCGATGAGAAAAAAAGTTTGGAGAAAATATAGTGAAAGCTTCAATATATGAAGGGAAAGAAGCTTTTGAAACTTGAGTTGTGAAAAAAAGAGGTGCCTTAACATTTTATAAAACCTGAACATTTGAATATAAGAAAAAGCGCCTTTGCTTAGACTAAAAAAAAATCGTTAAACTTCCACCATTGAAAGAAATGCACAAACTGTGATCTTAAGTGAATACGCCGCAAAGTTTTGAACTTAGTTTAGTATCGCATTTAAATCGAGCTTTTTTCTTTCTTTTTTTTTTAAACTGGTGTTGTGAAAACGTTTAAGTGTATAGTTATCGCATAAAGACTGAATTGGCTGCATAACGCGCCTGAACTCATCTCTATAAATTCGAATTTAAACATAAGTTTTTTCGCGCACCGTTTACATCATTTTAATACGCTGGCAGCATCGAAGACAACGCTACGAGGTGGCGGTGCCACAACGGGAATGCCATTTATTGACGATACACTGCTTTGGTGTCCGGATAACGATGGCCGAATGGTGGACATTTCCGCATGCTTACAGGTATGTTATCATTTCACCTCTCCACTATTCCCATTTGAACTATTCATGGAAGTTCAATTGAGTTCATGTTTGCCATGCCATTTAATATCTTTATAGGATGCCACCGGAGTGAATGTTACCAATAATCAAAACCAAGAAATTCCGGGTAGCTCATGTGACCTAAGTTCATTGGATCCACTATGTAATGATTCAGAGGAAATTTTGCGTCAGCTCGTTGAGAATCCATTCGATGTGGACTCATTTTTTACCGATTTCAACGGTGCTGACGTTAAGGTAAGAATGAGATTTGGTTGTGCAAATATGAGCTTATGTTTTGTATTTGAATTGAGTTGTGCGAAATCCATCTAAAAGCTACCTTTAGCTTTGGCTTATATGAAAAGCGCCTGTATATAGACTTGATTGTTCAAGTTACATTCATTGAAGCCGCAAAAAACTGTAAATAGAGGTCGGCACCGGTGCCAAGCTTCCGCTTTGTCACATGTTTGATTCGAAATTTTCACTGAAACAGGATTTTTCGACGCAAGAAAAGTGACTTTGTTGAATGTGGGTTTTTGATTAAAATTGACAGAAGATTGACAAAATTTACATGAGATATTGAATCTGATTGATTATTTAATATTTCCCGAATTGAGTGGAAAGAAATAAACAGATTATTTTTCTTTAGTCTGCGTATTTCTTTCCACTCAATTCATTACGGCCATGCACCAACAAAAAACGTACAAATAAACATTTCCATCAATTCCGTTCATATTTTTTTTATTTATTGAAAAATTCGAAAATTAAATTTTTGGTGTGATTTAACACATTCAATTGTACATTGGAAATAAATTCTGTATCTCATTTGCTTGTTTGAAAATATATAAAAACAAATTCGTGGGATTTCCACATGCATACAAACGTGCTTTGATTCAATACTGTTTTTCAAAATTCATAATTCATTTATGAGACTCATGACATGAGTCATTTAAATTTAGCTTAAAATAATGCAATTGAGAGTTTGTGTATGTAGAAGCGGAACGCAAAAGTAAACTATTCAGTTCAGCTATTTATAACCGATTTTATTTTGCTTCAGAATCATTTATTTTTGCTCTGTGCGTTTCTCTAATCGTTTCCGTCTTTGATTGCGATGTTTTTTTTTTACAGGAGGAAAACAATAACAATAATAATTTACCGAATCAACATGCAGTTAATGATGATGATTATAATAATGATAACACAACACAATTATTGCAAAATTTAACTGCATCACAAAATACTGCCCATCAAAATGATACCAATGACAGCTTATTGGCATTGGCCGTTGCATTACGTTCAGCGGCAAATATATCACCATCGGATCATCAGCAAAATCTTCGACACCTTGCAATCAATCGAAATTTTACCGCCACCACTTCACAATCAATTATTGACAAATTACATACACCAAGCATTAGCGATTTAGACAGTTTAGCAGTTAATCGCCCACACAAACCACCCGATCTAAAAGGTGAGTCTTCTAATGTTAATTTTCATCTTTTTTGCTGCCTTAATTTATGTAAATATATACATAGTAGGAGGGAAACCAAAACATAATCGATCCAAGACTAGTACTTCCTAGGAGTTGACACAATTTGCATTTACGTTGACATTTGAATATTTGTTGAATAACGATTTGAATTTGTTCGAAGTTGAAACCAAATTTATAAAATGGATGAAAACCATTCTCGATTAAGAAAATTTTGCAGAAAAAAACCAAAAAAAAAAGTCTTTAGAAAAATTTATCGGTGACATTTTCTTCGAAGCATTTTCGCTTTGAATCATTTTGCTGGAAAATGTCATACAGAAAATCGGCCATATGGCAAAAAAAAAAAATAATAAATTTCAATGTTCAATTGCATTAACGGCAATTGCAGGTTCTAAAATTGACATGTCACCAATTTCGATTTGCTTAGGAGAAGCAAAAAAAAAGTGTGAGTTGAACAAACATCAACATCAGTCAAAGCTAGAATCATATAGAAAAAAAGACAAACCAAACGACATGACATTCACGTTGAATCTGATTCACTGCAACGAGTTCTTTTCATGTTGGGCAAATACATTCGTTCAAACGTTTTTTTTCGTTTACTTTGTCTTCTTATTCAACTTAAATTACATAGGCATGATTGTAGTTGCTCTTACGTATGCGCTTCTATGACCTAACATTCAGACTTGGGCATCAATCGATTCAACATTTGATGAACTGAAATTGCATTCGCATCTAATTTCAAACGAAATCGAAATGAAAATGAAAGTGAAACGAACATTTCCCATCTGTTCAAACAGAGGCTGTGGGTGTGTATTCATTTTGATTTACACTCGCATATACACAATAACAAAAACAAAAGCTCGATAAGCTGTCCCCATCTCTTTCAAATTATATACCTATAATGTTATCTACACTATGTGACTCACTTAGATGTGTGTTTGCGCGTTAGCAGATGCTAATGACACTTTCAAGAGCACAAATATCTTTCTGTGTCATTCAATTTCAGAATATATGTTTGCGTGCGTGCGCGCACGATTGAACGAGCAAGCGAGATTTTTTTCTACTTGTCATCTCATTTTCTCCCCCATCGAATCCCCACCAAATGCATCGATTTTGTCTGCATTTTATAATTAAATAGCAATTAAATTTGAAATTTGTGTGACGGTTTACAGTGATTCATGGGTATGTGTGCATCTATACGTACATAAATTTGAAAAATTCATACAATTTGATACTAGGCTGAACAACATGTTCTCAGACTCTCGCGTTTTATAATACATATATTCGCAAATTTTCGAAGAACAAGTCACAAAAGTCGTTGAGAAAAAGCGCGGGCGCAAATGCGCGCACGACGACTGCATTACATCATTTAGAGCGCTGACTATTTAGCCAGAGAAGTCTATTCTCGATGTAGTTTACTTGCATACGGTAGTTCACGATTAGAGTAAAATTGTGCTGTTTTTTTTTTGTATTTTGTTATTGTAGTTGAATGTCACATATGCACGCACTGTGCACATAACCCGATTGAATGAGCAAAAGCGAATGTGCGCGCAAGCACACACAACTAGCACATAAATACAACTAAGAAAATGCCAAAGCGGACGATATATACAATGATAGATTTCGTGCGTGTTTGAATTAGAATTAGAATAGATTTGCATAATTCGCGATTACCACCCCGCGCAACACGTGAAACTGATCCGTATCTACACATATACGTAACAGATGTCATTGTTGCATTTCGATGTGTCTCTGTCTATATACAATAAATATAGAATGCAATTTGAAGTTTCTTGCGATGTAATCGCCTCTTATTCGCTCACTCTTACACTGTTCGGTTGCAAAAAGGAACAAAACGTACAAATGTACGTATAACATTTCAATATTAGGTTGTTCGTTACGTCGAAGGTAAACAGGGTGAATGTCTCTTGGTTTGAATATAACTTTGAATATTGCGTTCAATTTATAGCGCTCGCGCACAGAAAGAGAGGGAACAACTGCGATCTGGTTAATCTTTTTTTCTTATTCGAAATGAACGCTGAATATTAGCTGCATGCGTAGCAAAACACATTGATTCAGAGAGGATAACACACCGATCGCACATACGTCCAAAATCAATTTCAATGAGAAACAACAGCCCAGTTACTATATATAATATATTGAACGATAAATTTATTGGTATTTTAAAAGAGCCAATAAAAAAAATCAAACTTGATTTTTGGGTTTTTTGTTTCCATTCGTTAGAACTCGTGAATATCACATTGGCCAAGAATTTCACGG